CAGAAACTGTTAAAGAAAACTACCAAAATAAGGTCAGTTAAATGAACCGTATTCCTCCGAACTTTAATTCCTAAAGGTTTGCTTTTTTTGTTTTGATGTTGAATTCACTTTTTTGATGACAATTTGGGTGTACTGTTTTTTTATGTTGGGGGTGCGGCTTATAGTCCGAAAAATACGGTAATTTATTCTGATTAAACTGATGTCTAGACACAAATAAATTCATAGAGGAAAAATTTTACAACACAATCAGTTGTGTTATGGTTATTCACACAAGTGTTTAGTTTTTACCAAGTGAAATACTGTTTCCTGTAGGCACAAGTTAAAAACATCTTGTTTCAAAATGATGCAGAACCAGTCCATGCATTTACAGCTTCTTAGACTGGGCTGTGTCATTCTTTATCTGCGTGGGAAAACTTTCTACAAAGTGCAGCAGTTACACAAAGCTGAAGCTCAAAGTTCTCAGTCAGTGGAAGGAAACTACTAAAAGAAAAAGATCATACTTATCAATAATATATTTGATGTTGTCATGCATGCTCTGGTCCGTCCATCCCTTGTATGGCTGAATATGGAAGGCCACCTGTGCACACATGTTAACACTGTTTTAGAGAAAAGCACCAAGGGAATTTACAACACTGAAAAATACAAGAATGTGTAAAAAATAGTCTTRGTTGTTTTATGAGAGCAGCATTTCATAGATAAATGATATGGGCACAAATTTGGGTCATATTTCTTTTGTTCTTATAAATCAGGCTTTAATTTTTTTAATTAGATATGTAGATGTAGTACAGGGGTCACCAAACTTTTTGAGACCGAGTGCTACTTTTCGGGTACCGAGTAACACAAAGGGCTACGTCTTCGATACAAACATAAATTGGCATGACTCACCTTTAATTATAGTATTTTAATTAATAATAATAAAGTTATACATGTGAATATTTGATTCACTGAGTACATCTCAATGTTTTTCCTCATTGTAATCATAATTTACTGTGGTAGATATGATGAGTTATTATTATTAAGTAATTTAAACTTTGTGCAGCAGCATTTGATTCCAGAGTTCCCAGTTTGAAACACTTTTGGAGCTCTTCAGTGTGACTGGAGTGTGGATAGTTGTTTCTGTCTGTGATGGTCTGGAGACCTGAGAAAGGCTTCAGCCTCCACCTTGTTCCT